GATCGACTCCAATAGAAGTTGCTATATTCATGGTGATGGATTAGCATGCTACCTAGTGCAAAAGTGTTGCTTTTGATGGGTTTTTAAGATTCATTGGTGGTTTTGAGCTATTTATAGAGGGTTTGGTGTGATTTTCTTCTTTTTAGATACTAGACAGATGCAATATTTAAGTTACATTTCAAGGCTTGACAATAAAAGCCTTGAACCTTGAAATGTAACTTAATATTGCATCTGTTTGGGACTACTTTAAGTGGTGGATTAATACTCATTTGATGTTTTTCCCATATGCAAGGCATTGTGGCATTGACTCCAGAAAAGCAGTTGCTATATTCATGGAAGGATTAGCATGCTACCTAGTGCAAAAGTGTGGCTTTTTTAATGGGTTTTTAATATTTATTGGACTGTCATCGGTGGTTTTGAGCTCTTATAGGGGGTTTGGTGTGAACAAATGTAGAATATTACTAGACATATCCTTTTTAATCTTACCATAGATGTTAATGCACTTGGAAATGAAAATAAATGATACCACACTAGACATTAAAAGAGCAATAATAAAGTCGTGTGTGAGTCGTGTGTGCTCATGCTGGAAATCCTTAAATGTATTATTTTTTTCAAGGTTTGAAAAGTGCTTGAATTGTATGTTTGAGTTACAAAGTCTTATTGCATTTAAAACAAATGTTTCCCCTTTTTTTTTTTAATATGAACGGCTAATTAGACCAGTGTCACACATCATAACTTTGGTTGTTAATAGCAAAATAATATTTAGTGATCAGTAATCTGTGCAAGAGACTGTTTCTGTCTTTGCATTGTAACAATCTTATGACTTTTGACGACAAATATTATCATAAACACACTTTTAAATTGCTTGTAAAAGGTGAAACACCTTTTTTAAATGCTCGATCTTGTCAAATGTCTCAAGTAGATTTTTTTTTTTTACTCATGACTCTCTTTGGTGTTAGGAACCAGACCCCTTCCTGGAAGCGGCGGGGCCACAGAGGCGAGGAGGAGGACACAGAGGAGGACCTGAACAAGGACTTGGACGACTCCTCCGCTGGCGCCAGCATGGAGGAGGGCAGCGTGTCGAAGAACGGTACGTCATGAAAGTGGGGCTGAGCTGGAGACTTTATTCTCTGTAGTGTGCTTGTATAGATTTGTGTGCATGTAAATGGTCTGCAAAGGCTAACATCCCAACGTAATAACATCACTATGTAACACAAGCACTTCTATTGGCTAGTGCTCCAACACATTGTACAAGTTAGGCTAAGGGGCGGGACATCTCTAGGAAGTTGACCAATCACAACAGAGCTGGTCAGCTAACCAATCCGAGCATATTTTAAACTGGGGAAATGAGACTGATAAGAACATCCACGCACAGAAATTCCTCTTCATCTGCAACACACACACACACACACACACACACACACACACACTCTCACCATATCCCAGTTAAAAAAAGTAGGAAAAAAGCCTCAGGAGCCAGACATGTAATCCTTTTCAAACTGCTCCCATTTGAAATGTCCCACTTTTACAAAAATCACTTCTCTCTCCCCTGAACACACGAAAAGTATTTCTCACTCCATTTATGTCAGTGTCTCTCTAATGCCTCCCTACCGATGGCTGAATTAAACTTGTATTAATATATTTGTTCACCCTTTTCAATCGTCGTTTCTCTTATTTTTTCCATACACAGCAAACTCAAAGAAAGACAACGAGAGTACTCCGGTGAAAGGAGGGACTTTGGCTGACCTGGGTATGTATCTATTATGTCATTGATGTGGTTAGTTGTGTTTAAAATAACACAATGTTTAGAATGAGTCTTTCTGCCCTTGTGATGGAAATCTGTTTTTACTTCCAGATGACATGGAGGATGACTCTGTGCTGTCTGGTGGAAAGGTGAGATGATTTACGACTCCTCTCTGTCTTCATCAAACTAAATACTGTAGCTGGTGTGAATGAAAGGGATGGGAAATGTTTTAAAGCATTTACAAATCACCATCAGATGTTATTAGAGCCCGAATGTGTCACAGTCTAACCTCAGTGATTGTTCACTAATGCTCTCATGCATTTCCCACATGAAGAGCCATGATACTCTTTCTATGGGAATTACGTTTTCAATCATATGCCCCTTTTTAAAAAATGTAATCAAAAACATTAAGGTAACGATGTGAAAAGAAAACAGTTACAGTTTTCGCTATAAAATAATAAGTTATGTTGACCAACAAAGGAACTTTTTAACCTTACTATGTCTTCATCACGAAGATGGTTTGAAAGACCCTCAATGGTTCAATCATGCTGATGACAGGATTGAATGTAATTTAATGATAGGACTCAATCCATATAACCTGTGCCTGGAATACACATTATAAAAATAACAATTTATTTAAACAAAATGTATAAGCCTGGAAAAAAAGACATTTCAAATATGGAAAATGGTCCCTACAAGTGTTTTTTTAATGTTGTTTACTTATAATTAGCCATTTGTCATTTTGAACATTTGTCTTTTTGATATTTATCAACCAGATCAGGTCAAAAAGTGTTTCTCTTTTTAGTCTCGTTTTCAAAGTCTGCCTTCCTTCAATATTATTCCCATATTCATCTTTACTGAGGATGTGTTTCCTGTCGTTGGAGATGGAGTCTCCCCGAAGTCGTCATTGGGGAAAGAAATGAGATGAAATATATTTGTATTCCTCTGTGAAATATTGCTCAATTTATTTTCATCCGTGCAAACACTTTGTTGTTAAGAAAGCTTTAGGAAATTGGACTTTCATAATGTGTATTCGTAAATAAAACGTATCTTCTTTATGCTGATGTGTCTGTGTTGTGCTGCAGGATGATGAGGAGCAGGGCAAAGCTGAGATCAACCGACTGATGGACGCCAGCGAGGACAACGTGACCGAACAGACTCACCACATCATCATCCCGAGCTACAGCGCCTGGTTCGACTACAACTGGTAAGACCTGGGGAATAAACACGACGATACCCCACAAATATAGCTTATTTTACAATTTATTTATTTTTCTGGTGGGATATAATGACAACTTTAGGCCTAAATGTGCTGTAAGATGGGTATTATAGTTGTTTTTAGATGTTACGTATTATTTGCAGTCTATTTATTTACATCGTGCTGTATTTTACTTGGAGATAAAAAAGCTCACTATTATGTAGGGCTGTGCGATTATGGCAAAAATCATAATCACAAATATTTTGGTCAATAATAAATATCATGATTATTAAAAAAAGATTATCCATTTGCTTTGAAAACACCCATTTATTTATAAAAAAAATGTGAACAGTATGTTTTTAACAGTTTAACTTTAAGTATAATTCAACTGAAAAAATCATTTAAAAAACAATTAAAATATATTTTTTAATAAAATTAATAATCGTTTTATTTCGATTACGTTTTTTTCGTAATCGTTGCAAGCCAAAATCGAGATCGAAATAAAAATAGATTAATTGCACAGCCCTATTATGGCAGTCATATCATATAATGTGAAGGTTTGAGAAGATCACACCTTAGATTAAGTATTTACTTATACCTGTCATTATATAGCAGATAACAATGAGCTATAGTTAATTTGTACTCTCCTAAATTCATTAAGTATTAAACCTAAATATTTTTGTTTTTTTATAGCATCCATGAGATCGAAAGGAGAGCCCTGCCCGAGTTCTTCAACGGAAAGAACAAGTCCAAAACTCCAGAGATGTAAGCTCCATATAAACACAGTAGATATGTGTCTATACTTGTATAATTCTTGTACAATGTGTAGACTCAAAATGTCTGTTTCCTGTCTTGTTATACTAATCTCTTTGTGGTTCTTCTCACAGATTCCTGGCCTACCGCAACTTCATGATCGATACGTACCGGCTAAACCCTCAGGAGTACCTCACCTCCACCTCCTGTCGCAGGAACCTGACAGGAGACGTCTGTGCCATCATGAGGTGAGCACAGGGTTAATTTTTTTACCAAGTTTGTAATTTAACCAAATATCTACATTACTTCTGCAAAGGCAGCTCCTTCCCCTGTCACGTCTGTCATCAACAGACAAACTGAAAAACATTTGTAGAGACAATGCAGAACATCTTAATTTAGTTCAGTTTCAATTCATTTACATTTTCAATGAAGGAGATGATTTTCTGTTTTCATTCCACCAGCGTTTTTATTTCAAAAAGTACAAAATGTAGTTGAAATGCTAACTTAATACATTTTGAAATCTGTTTATTTATTGCTTGACATGTCGTTTTTGTGGTATTAAACATCGGGAAACCAACAATATACCATTAACAGCCACACTGCCTCTCAAGATGTATACATTTCCTCATAGGACTCGATACATTATCAACAACATTTGAAAAATCCCCACAGAATTTACTCTGTATGAATACATTGAAATAATCTGAACAAAAATGACATTTATCATATATATTTTCTCTCCAGGGTTCATGCTTTCTTGGAGCAGTGGGGTCTGGTGAACTACCAGGTGGACTCCGAGAGTCGCCCGCTGCCCATGGGACCCCCACCCACCCCCCACTTCACCGTGCTGGCCGACACACCCTCTGGCCTCATTCCCCTGAACCACAGACCCCCTCCGGTAAGACTGACTGAAATATATATACAAAGTGAAAGAAGAATAAAAAGGGGTTCGTTAAATTGGAGAAAACGATTGAGACAGCTTCAGTGCAATTCAGCGTATTGTTCATATCTTATTTTACTGCTAGCATTATAACACACAGTAGAATTTGGTATTAAAGGTCACCTATCATGCTATTTTTAGGCAATAGCATAGGTCTCATGTCTATGAACATGTCTATGAAGTGTTTTGCTCAAAATACCAAACAGATCACCCGTTCTAGCCATGCCTCGTATCCCTCTGTTTCACTTCCTGTTTCAAAGTGATGATTTTATGTATAAAGCTTTAAAAAAAAAGTTAGGGGTCTGAGCTCATGCGGGACCCGGCAGCTACTGTCTAAACTAAATGCTGCCGTGATGAAACGCCATATCATGGATTATCAAGGATTCTCTCTGAAACAGTTTGGAGCTCAAAGGCTTTCTCTCTTGCCGGTTAAACCACAAGGTGAGTTCCTTTTTATTTCCTGCTTCTTCACACACATGCTCTCCAGTACAGGTTAGCTCTGAGTGTTAGCGATGCTAATGTAAACACCGACCATATTACGTCCTAAACAGTCGAGCATTGTTTCTGATAGCAACGTTTCAGATTGGGACGTGGGTCCACATTTCAGATATTACGTCATATCGGACGCAAATCTGGATCAGCTCCGTTGTTCCCCCGTTTTTAGAGATTTGGGTACGGAGGAAAAGAGAGAGGGTTTTATTTTCTGACGCTGCGTGAGTTCCCCGACACACCGGGGACACATCTTTATGTATAAAAGACATCAAAAAGTGCATTTTGCATGATAGGTCCCCTTTAATGTCTCAACAGGCAAGAGTACCACGCCATCATTGCTCATGTGTTGTTTCCTCCCTCTAGATTCCCCCTCAACAGCAGATGCCAAACTTCGCAGACAAAATCAAAGACAAGTCCATCGACCTGCAGAACTACGGCCTGCGCTCCGACCTCTACAACAAGAAACATCTCAAGGTCAGCATCTTACTGGCTTTAAAACCTGTTGAAAGTTATAAATTGTTCTAGTTTGACTTATTTTGAAAGGTGGTGGAATGATTTCTTAAAAGTGAGTTAAGTAAAAAAAAAGCTTAAACGGATATTCATATATATTATCTTGGAGGTTATTTTGCTATTTTACTTCAAATTCCTGCCAATACATGTTCTTCTTGTCCTAATATCTATATTAATGTGATTTTGGTGTTGTTGTTCCTCACAGGGTAAAACTACCAACTCCACCAGGGATTGGACCGAGCAGGAGACTCTTCTGCTGCTGGAGGTGAGTCTCAAAGACATTAGAGACGAAAGTAAGCTACAATAATACTCTGAATTGTAAATACGACTGCTGAGCACTGAAACTTAAACCAATCAGCTGTCATGAATACTTATGGATATTAAAGATGGTTATTTTACTTGCTTGTCGTCACCTATTTTCCTTTTCTATTTTATTTATTTTCTCACCTACTTGTCCTTCCTATTCCTCCTTCTTAAACTCTTTTTCTGTATTTCATTTATTCCTTTTTTTATTTGACTTTTTTGTTTTCTCACAAAATTCCCCTCTTTTCCACAGTACATAAAACTCCATCCTCTCTGTCCTTACGACCCTTTAATCTGTATTTCTGTCCTCCTTCTCCTGCAAACCTCCTATAAATATTACACACTGACCAGATAGAAAGACTGACACGTGTTTAATTTGCCCCCCCCCCTCCACTCCTTCCAGGCTTTGGAGATGTTCAAGGACGACTGGAACAAAGTGTCAGAGCACATCGGGTCGCGCACCCAGGACGAGTGTATCCTGCACTTCCTGCGGCTGCCCATCGAGGATCCGTACATGGAGAGCACCGAGGCCTCTCTGGGCCCTCTGGCCTACCAGCCCATTCCCTTCAGCCAGTCTGGAAACCCCGTCATGAGCACTGTGGCCTTCCTCGCCTCCGTGGTGGACCCCCGGGTGGCGTCTGCTGCAGCCAAGGCAGCGCTAGGTGAGAACTGATGGGGGTGGAGGATAAAACTGCTGAGTCACATCTTTGAAATGTCTTTTGAGCTCTGCAAATTAGATATTTATGAACTTTCTTTGGATATCTATTGTTAATATGTGGAAATGTGTATATATAAATAATATTAACATGTGATGAAACTGATAGATAACTATTTTTGACAGTTGCTTCCCAAAGTTCAACCATTTTAAGTCGTACCAAATTACTAATTTATAGTCCTAAAATTAAATGAACTGCAAGCCTAAAATAAATCTCTGTATGAAAATGGGGGCAGCAGTCACTCACTCTGTTGCACAACTGCATTAACTGTGTTCATCACAGCTGGTACATGCGGAGCTAATTTCAGTTGATTTAAATACTGCTAGTGGATATTTAACCGCTAATCATTTGTATGATGATCATTGATTTTTTTCTATTAGTTGATTTAGATCTACAGATGTGCATACAATAATTATAATTAAAAAAACAATTGTAAATCACAAAAATTAGAGCGTTTGAGGCTGTAAACTTGAAAATGTTTAATTTCTAAATACATTGACTAAAAAATCATCAGTCATTTCTCATGAGTACATTTCCCCACAGGCCAACAACAGCTTCAACAAAACTATTCCCCTCAAAGAACAAACCAATCAAGTCCTGTTGTCCTGAGAGAAAGTGCAGAAGGAAACATCCATTGAACTCAGTGTGCTGCTCTGTGAAGCTAGTTCAGATACTTGGCATCTCATCTTGGGTGCAAGGTCATCAATGTTTGGGCTCAGGCTCTGAGCTGAGGAGACCCTCAGGATGGAGTGAAGGTGTGCGTGCAATATACCGGCGGGCCAGATCTAATAGTAATTAGAAATTATCCTGCGGGCCGAAATCAAATCCACCAAGGGCCTGATTTGGCCCCCGGGCCTTGAGTTTGACACATTAGGCATTCAAAATATGGGGGAAATACTAAGAACATTATTTAGACCAATTTTGCAATTGTGATTCTTAAGTAGATATTTTGCTTTTAACAAATATTGCGCTGTACTGTGAATTAGATATTGCACTAATCCATATTGTGATTACAATGAATTGTCCAGTTCTCATACCCATATCAATATTAGAATAGAATATATCTTGTCATCATACAAAGTACAACGAAATAACTTTGGCAACTCTAACTGCAGTAAAAAAATAGACGATTAAAGTCAGTTTTGAAGTTTGATTTAATAAACATGCTCTCTGTGTGCAGAGGAGTTCTCTCGTGTGCGTGAGGAGGTCCCGGCTGAGCTGGTGGAGGCTCACGTGAAGAAGGTGCAGGAGGCGGCCCGCAACACCGGGAAGGTGGACCCCGCCTTCGGCCTGGAGAGCAGTGGCATCGCCGGCACCGCCCCCGAGGAACCGGAGAAGTCCGGTGAGCAGAATCTGACGAGTGTGGAAAACTAGAAGCACGAGTTAGTTTTTTTTTAAACTATATTGTCGCCTGTAGTTAAAGAAGTAAAGACGTTGTTGTTCACCATGTTAAGCGGCCTTGGGTCCCTTGAAAGGCGCTATACAAATTGAATCTATTATTATATTATTAATAACCTGCTAAAAGTGAAAGTCATGCAATCAAATTCGTACGAAAGTATTGGCATCAAAATATACTTAAAGAAGTAAAAGTACTCGTTAAGCATAATGGCCCTTTCTGTTTTTCAGTTTCTTTTCTTAGATTATATTTTAGTTACTAAAGCTATCTGAAAAAATGTCGTCCAGGAGAAAGTACAATATTTCTCCAAACAGCAGTAGTGTGTGTGTGTGTTGTGTGTGAATTGTTGTGTGTGTGTGTGTGTGTGTGTGTTGTGTGTGTGTGTGTGTGTGTGTGTGTGTGTGTGTGTTGTGTGTGTGTGTGTGTGTGTGTGTGTGTGTGTGTGTGTGTGTGGTGTGTGTGTGTGTGTGTGTGTGTGTGTGTGTGTGTGTGTGTGTGTGTGTGTGTGTGTGTGTGTGTGTGTGTGTGTGTGTGTGTGTGTGTGTGTGTGTGTGTTGTGTGTGTGTGTGTGTGTGTGTGTGTGTGTGTGTGTGTGTGTGTGTGTGTGTGTGTGTGTGTGTGTGTGTGTGTGTGCTCTCTTTGTCCTCCCATCCTTGTTTGTTTCCTCCATCTTGGAATAGCCTAGATCGTCTTTTTTCCCCTAAATATGATGGAAGATGATTTGACATTTGTAGGCGATACACATGTCAGTTTTCACCAGCTGGGGGTTAGCGACACACTAACATTGGTGTGTGTTTTCGCACCAGTGGATTAAACCGGTGGGGAGGGGGGGAACTGGGTCATCACACACTAACATGTGCTTCTCTCTCTCTCCCTCTCTCTCAGTGCTTTCTTGAATTATTTCACTCGCCCTCTCTTTCACTTTTGATCTTTTCCTCCTCTCCCTTCTCCTCCACACACACATATTCTCTCACACACCTCACACACCTCACACACCTCTCACATTTGCTCAACCTGAATTAAAGCCCTCCAAAGCCACAGTTACAATCAATAGCTTAAATGTGTAGAGTGGCCTGAAGCATCTGACCGACACACACATCACAGAAATCAATATTCAAACACTTAACACACGCTCAAGTGCACCCGTGACATAGTTTAACACTCAACTGTACACATGTATTCGTGTGTGTGTGTGTGTGTGTGTGTGCAAATGCTTCACAACCTTTCCTGCTCTCAAAAAATTGTTTTAACCTTAATTTTCTCTCCTGAGTTTCTTCACTTCAACACGATTTCTTTGCTGGTCTTACCCTCTATAAATCTATAAATGCATTTTAAATCAAACTGGATGATAAAGCACTGCTGCCCCATTCTGTTAGTCGTATACAATTGTTTTATTAATCTGTAATTTCTTTGTCTGAATATGCATGTGTTAGCGCAATCTGACCCTTATCATTAGGCGCGTTCACACCGCAGTACTTTTCCCACTTTAGTTCCGAAATGTCGCATTCACACCAAAAAGAGCCGGAACTAAAATTAGTTCATGAGAACCTTTTCACCCCCTTTTCCGTCCCTGCTAGAGAGCAGGGACTTTCGTGGGAGAAAAAGGTTCCTATGTCTGATTGGCTGGGCGGATTGCAAACCACGCCCCTGAAAACTCCCAAAAAGTTTTGTGAAGCCGCCATTTTATTATCATCATTAGCATTAGTGCACCAACGCAGAGAGACTAACTTATGGCAACACAAAATAAAACATGGGAGCGGTGGAGATGAGGAGGTGTCGGCGTTCTGGCGATTTACTCGGAAGGCTTCAGTAGAAGCTGCTGGGAGTCCCAGCAGCTTCTACTGAAGCCAGTCCCCAACTCCGGGGACTTTGGGTGGCAGTATACGCCGTGAAGCTGTTTGCGGCCTGCCAGTAAACCCAAAGCAGAAGAAGAAGAAGAAGTGACGTCAGCGGCTTCATTTGCCTAATCCTCCCCAGGAACTTATTCCGGTGTGAACGCGATCTGTACTTCGTTCATGAGAACTAAAGAGTTCTGATGAACCTTTGTGGGAAAAGTACCGCGGTGTGAAAACGCCTCTTGCTCTTGGTTTTAAGTAGCAGCATTATAAGCTACAAAAAAAAAATCTGGACCCTTTTTTGATCGGTTTTAGTCTGACATGTGTCTCAATTCTCCTCTACGCTTGCAGAAACCCCAGAGGCAGAGAAGATGGACGCAGACACAGACTCCCAGCAGGCCGATAAGGTAAGCTTTGTTTGTGTTTTACATGTGTACTAAATGTCAAAGACAATCAGTTTTGCTTTGCATTTGAGAGTGAATCACATGACGGTAACCTCTGCTAATAAGTACTCAAAGCATTCAGTATATAGACCATTTCTTATTCTCAACATGAAGACAAAAACTTTCATTCGTCTGTCACTGAGCACTTTCTACCCTGACTGTGGCACTCTGTAGCCCATATCAAATGCATAAATCTTTTAAAACTGTCCCAAAATCTAAAGTTTCCTTTCCCAAAGAGAAAGGCTGAAGAACTTCCTAATGCATTTTCATTTTTAAACCTTTCTCCTACTCTGTTTCTATAAGTACTTTTTTACTTGTTTCAGAAAGGCCAATCTGCTAAATGTAATGACATTTGTTTTTTTCTACGATCACATTGATCCAGCTTTGCAGAGCAGTTTGTTAATAGCTTCCTCATTAGCATCCATTAACCAGTGTCCGACTCTTTCTAAATCACGCCGTTTGTCGTTCAAAAAGTTGACAGGATCACGATACGACACATATTTCCATGCCACCTGATTAGAACCGCATTTACCAGCTATTACTTAATTCTTTCATGTCGTTAAGTCACTATCAATTACTTTATATACAGGGGTGCACATAACTAGTACGCATGCGCGGCATCTGACATGCGTAACGTCACTAAGCTGAAGCTTTTCCAGAAGGCGCTTAGATCACTGGACGACAGTCGGTCTCCGTGTGCACAGACGGGGCTGCTGTTAACGTTGGTGTGTTTAGCACCCCCCCCAAACACTGTCTCCTGGTACTCGTCTGAGTAACTCACTAAGAAAGTTATGTGCACCCCTGCAGAGATGGGGTCGTTACTAAAAAAAGTAATATATTACATATTACTTTTTTTTAAAAGTAATATATTACACTACTTCGTTACTCTCTACATAAAGTAACTCGTTACTTTACTCGTTACTTTACTCGTTACTTTACTCGTTACTTTACTCGTTACTTTACTCGTTACTTTACTCGTTACTTTACTCGTTACTTTACTCGTTACTTTACTCGTTACTTTACTCGTTACTTTACTCGTTACTTTACTCGTTACTTTACTCGTTACGTTACTCGTTACGTTACTCGTTACTTTACTCGCAGGGCCGGCCCGCCCCTCCCTGCAGGCAGATCACGCAGACTGCTAAAGTTTCAAATGTTCTCTTTAGTTCAGTTTCCATTGTCGCATAAGACTGATCCAGATCCTGAATGTTCTCCTATCTGACCGTGGCTGTCCTCTGTCTCCTGCTATCTGTATATTTTGCGCAGTCTATCTCTGCTCACGCTGTTGCGTCGGCGTGTTCTCAAAGACTTCAGCCGAGCACGTAAGAACTGTGCATGCGTGAGTGGCAATAACTCTCCTTACCAGCAGGTGGCGGTAGTGTGTATTCGTCATTCAAAACAGGCAACAGCCGGAAAACAGAGAAGAAGAACAGACTACGTGATATAAACAAACAACAAATAGCTGTGCGTTAGCTTCACCTTAGCATGTGTTCTTTGCAGGTGTTTGTTGAGGTTTGATTATGACTGATTTTTAGTAAGTAACGAAGTAACGCGTGTCGGGGCAATGTTAGTAACTGTAGTGTGATTACTGAATTATAAAAGTAGCGCGTTACACTACTCCGTTACCGACCAAAGTAATATTATTACAGTAACGCGTTACACCCAACTCTGCACCCCTGTTTATATAGGCCATTAGTCACGTATCTAAGACCATTTTATATATTTTCAGTGGGTTTCGTGGTGCTTTTGCAACCCTAAAGGTGTTTCATTTTCTCATTTATGCAGTTTCCATGCAACACAAAATCTCACTTTATCTTTTTTCAAACACATTTTTAAGTCTATTTTCTGTTTCCTGTGGCATTGACACGGCCACTTATCGTCTGTTTCCTCCTCCTTCAGGCGGAGTTGAAGGACGAGGCGGAGAAGCCCAGCGAGTCTGCGGAGAAGAGCGACAAGACCGATGCCGCGGACAAGGTGAAGAAGGAGGGGTCCGAGTCGTCGGAGCGCGAGGAGGAGAGTGAAGAGGGAGGGGATGCCAAGGCGGCTCCAGCAGGTAACACGGAGAATCAGGATCAAATGCTCAAATAAATCCACAAGCTTCTTGTGCATCGATGTACGGGGGAGGATGTGTTTTTGTATGCTGACCTAGCAGTTATCATTAGTTCCGTGACACCCTGATCTTTCGAGTCCCGTAGAACTAAACCTGTATTAGCCACAGACATTCTTTGGGAACCAAAAGTGCTTGAATGCTGACTCATTTCTAGGTCTTGGCACCCCTCCATGATCTCGTAAATAAGGCTGCAACTAACTATTCATTTAAATATCGATTCATAATGCAGATTACATGGTTTCAAGCGACTATCTTGTCCAATTATCAAGAAATTGTTGAAAGAAATTGTCAGTAATGCTGTTACATACTTTAATATGTTGGACCAACAGTCCAACCCAAAGATATTTCGTTTCCTGCAACATTTGACACAAAAAACAGCATATGTTTTGAACACATTTCTTTAACAATTAATAGATTTGACTAAAGTATTTTTGTTTCAATTGCTAATAACTAATCAACTCTACTTGTATCTATCTCTCTATCTACCTATCTATCTGTATTTTTGTTTCAATGTGTCAATTAAGACAACTAATCAACTCTACTTGTAATATACGAGAGACTGGTCCAGAGTGCAGAAGGTGTTCTTGTTTTATCTGAAATAATCGTTAAATCTCCCTCCCTGTCAGACAAAGACAAAGAGGAGTCCATGGAGACGTCGTCCTCGGAGCCGGAGAAGGAGAAGGAGGAGAAGGCAGTTACTGACGAGGTAGAGGAGAAGAGGAAGAAACTGGAGCACGACATCGGAGAGGGGAACATCGCCACCGCGGCCGCCGCTGCTCTGGCATCTGCTGCCACCAAGGCCAAGGTGAGATTACAGGAGTGCTGACTCAGCAAACACACATCTGATTTACCCAGAGTTCACCTTGTTGTCATGTTCAAAACGTTGCTGAAAGTCATTGGTTGGATCCTGTTGAGTTTGTGTCTTATGGCCACAATAGACAGGAATGCAGAAAACGTAAAGCAACAACTTTCACTCTTTTTGTCCATGATTAGAAATTCTGCTTTTATTGTTTTGTCCTTTTTTGAGTGTGCTGAAATATGTATCTTTTATGTTGCAATAATATATTTTGTTAAGGTCAATCTGTAAATAGTGGTGAATATTTAAAAAAAAAAAAATTTAAGACAGCGTTTAAACTAGGGCTGTCAGCCGATTAAAATAGTTAATCGCACATTTTTTATCTGTTCTAAATGTACCTTAGAGGAATATTTTTCAAGTTTTTAATACTCTTATCAACATATGAGTGGACAAATATGCTTTATGCTAATGTTTATTATCATTTGAACAATGACAAATATTCTCATGAATATTAAACACAACAACCTCTGAACATTACAAATATTCGCCTCAATTCAACGGGTGTGTTGTGTGTGTGTGTGTGTGTGTGTGTGTGTGTGTGTGTGTGTGTGTGTGTGTGTGTGTGTGTGTGTGTGTGTTGTGTGTGTGTGTGTGTGTGTGTGTGTGTGTGTGTGTGTGTGTGTGTGTGTGTGTGTGTGTGTGTGTGTGTGTGTGTGTGTGTGTGTGTGTGTGTGTGTGTGTGTGTGTGTGTGTGTGTGTGTGTGTGTGTGTGTGTGTGGTGTGTGTGTGTGTGTGTGTGTGTGTGTGTGTGTGTGTGTGTGTGTGTGATATCGTTGGAGCTATGTGCAACTCAAGGCATATGCTCGAACGGGAGCTGCCTGGACGCTGCAATCATGTTGCGCACTATCCGTGCTGAGTGTGCTGACTTCTCGTACAATGTCCCACTGTCTTGACTTCCTGCATAAAGTCAAGTGCTCGGCGCAGTTGTGGCGAAATGTCGCTCCTCTGTTTTCATTTAAGCAGCTCCTTATATCTGTTAGCGCAGCTAGCTAGCACCAGATGCTAACAACAACAATGCACGTAAGGTCTCTCTCTCGCTCGCTCGGGCCACACATACACACACCCTCCCGGTCCTCCAGATGGCCAGTCGGTGCCTGCCGGTGAGCGTGGAAGTGTGCTCTGCCACAAGCGGGCGACAGGAGCGGGGCTGTCAGCATCAGCTTGTAGATGGTATTTTAAACTCGATGCGCTCTGAAACTACGGGGCGGCCGAGGAAAAAACATACACATGTGTTAATCGCGTTAAAATAATTAGTGGCGTTAATTTTTTTTGCGTTATTAAAGCGTTAACTTGACAGCCCTAGTTTAAACGTATTTTATTTATTTCAATTCTTCAAAAAAGAGTGAGAGGAAATGCTGTTCTCATAATTGTGTTTTCCTCCTTTTTAATGCACTACGGTTATCTTAGTATATATTAGGGCTGTCCCGAACACCATTTTTCGGGCTCCGAATATTCGGTAGTAATCAGCAACGAATATTCCGCGTGCATGTTTTTATCATGTGTAACGTTACTGTTTACGGCGGATAAAGCAGCTTCGTCATGGCAACTGGACAACACCTAAACTAAACTACTACTTACAGCATGCAGGTGACTTTTTATAGTTGTTCTGCCCAGGTTTCCGTTGCCGGTCAACATATCCGTCAAAGTTGAAATCTTCCGACCAAAATGAGAAAAGTGCCGGTCAAAAGTCTTCTTTGTTATTTATTGAGCTTTAAAACAAATTGTTTAATATTGAATCATATCAAACTAATTATAGTAGATTAACTACATTTTTCAAAAGTGTACAGTAACTTACAATGACACGGATAAACGGAGCACTCTCTCCCTCTCCTGACAGCCCGTCAGTATCATGCAGCTCGCGGATCCAGTAATGAGTGACCCGACAGTAAAACTAAACATATCTATAACTAGTTACGGTAGTTTGAGAGGTCATTAAAATAGCTACGTGTGATATTCTAACCTGAAGTGTGTTTTGTTCCGCTCACCGCTGCAGGTGATCATGCAGAGCTGCGTGTCGACTCGTCAGCAGCAGCTGATCTCTCTCTCCCGTCGGATTAGACTTTACTCGCGTTTATGTCCATATCGATCAGACCTAGCTATTGAAAGCGATGTCAGGCGCCCAAACTGAGATTGTATTTCCGCATTTTAACAGTGCAATTTAAAAAGTATAAATATAGTATAAGAATGTGGCAATTCGCCTTTATTGATAGCATACATTTAGGAATAACGAAATTGAAAACCAAATAGTTGGCCAACGACCGAATATTTGGATATTCGGGTACAGCCGTAGTATATATTATAATTTCAGTTTTTTTCAGGAGTAATTGGACAGGATGTGGGAAATGTGTAAAGAAAGCCTTTCAACGTAGTACATTTATTTAATTCGTAATTAATCATATAATATCATAATAAAGTAAGAGATATCACAGTAGAATAGATATACTTTATAGATCCAAATAGGAAAATGGTTTAGTTACAGCAGCATGTGAACAAGATGTGCACATGAGTTTAAAATAGACGAACAATAAATATGTATATTTTTTTCAACAGTACAAGATGTAAATCTAAGAATATCTAAAGAATGCACACATACAGAAATGGTTAAAACTCACTCTTATAGACCAATTTATTTATCTTTTTAAAATTGTTTTCATTGAAGACACATAGAAAATACATTTGGTACATTGATAGGTTAGATTGAACAGTTCAAAGCTACTAGTGTTCAGCTTAGTCTCTACTATTGTACATCAATTGACAAACCATACATAGATGATCTTCACTTGAAGGCGTACAATAAGGCCAATTTATTTCTAAAAATATATATACAAAAGACGCTATATAGATTTCAAAATTGTTGCTTTTTTCTAATATTTACATTTCAATGCAGTGCGAGTACCATATGTGCAAATTGTTAAGGGAATGAATCAGATCCTTATGGTTCGTGTTCTTCCTCGCAGCACTTGGCGGCGGTGGAGGAGAGGAAGATCAAGTCCCTGGTGGCTCTGCTGGTGGAGACGCAGATGAAGAAGCTGGAGATCAAGCTGAGGCACTTCGAGGAGCTGGAGACCATCATGGACCGCGAGAAAGAGGCTGTGAGTTTGAAAAAAAGCAGCTTACATATAACAAGTGTTGAATTGGAGATTAAATGCGGATGATATCGGCCAACTTTGACCCTGTGCTGCTGCTCAAGCATTAACATTTCACCACTACACACTTAGTTAGGGCTCTCAGCTACGGTTATTAATAATGGAGATTTGTTATAGAGGCAGTAGGCTCAAGTAGCACCTCTCACTAAAGTGTAAGTGTAAAAATTGATATGTTGGGGCTTAATCCAACGACATTTTACCTTAAAGAGGCTCTATTATGCTTGTTGGGGTTTTCTCTATCCTGAGATATCCTGTTATAGGTTTCTGTGTATGTAGATGGTTTGCAAAGTCTAACATCCCTCTGGAAATTAGCATCATATGTCCCCTTTTAACCTGTTCAACCCAGAGGCCCCTTAACATTTAAAAACCTATTAATGTGTCATACCCACTTAACGGGAAGAAACTCAGCTAACTGACGATACGAACCATTTTTACCGAAACAAAACCCAAGTCTCACAAGAAGCGTCTAAATTAGCCCTGAGCGAAAAAATGCTAACGCACTTAGCACAGAACTCTAGGTATAAATACCCTTATTACATATCGGATCTGCACAAACAAGATATCGATTAGCAAGCTGAGATTCCACAGATTCTAGGGGTATTGGTATCATCACTGAGAACTCACGACATGGGAAACAGACATCACAACACGGAGCTTTACGGAGCAAAAACGGGACATTGTCTTACCTATGCTGTTGTTCTGATCAAAAGTTGTGTTCAATGGCATTAAAACGATAAAAACGCTGCTGAAGGTTAATCCAATGTGTCTGAAATGATTACTGATAATCCATCTACATATTTATGTCAATAATGGAGTTTTCATATATAGTTGCTATGAGAGCTACTGGCTCAGGGCTTAACAGGTTAATTAAACCACAGATTTCTGTTACTATCCAAAACCGACCTTCTGTCACCCAGTTGCAAGTAGAAGGTAAACATTTGGAGTTCATTGGTAAATGTTGGCTACTGAACAAGTGGCTTTTAAATGAGTCTAAATCTTCCTCAGTAAATCAAGAGGAGACACCGAATCACTTATTTTGTGAAGGATGTGAATCGAGAACAAACATTTTCCAGAGCACAGCTACTGTTTAGAGACTGGCAACTGAAACTGTTGCCTACCTCTTCAGCGCGAATAAAGTGTGTGTGTGTGTGTGTGTGTGTGTGTGTGTGTGTGTGTGTGTGTGTGGTGTGTGTGTGTGTGTGTGTGTGTGTGTGTGTGTGTGTGTGTGTGTGTGTGTGTGTGTGTGTGTGTGTGTGTGTGTGTGTGTGTGTGTGTGTGTGTGTGTGTGTGTGTTGTGTGTGTGTGTGTGTGTGTGTGTGTGTGTGTGTGTGTGTGTGTGTGTGTGTGTGTGTGTGTGTGTGTGTGTGTGTGTGTGTGTGTGTGTGTGGTGTGGTGTGTGTGTGGCCACTCCCTGGAGACGCCAGTGAGAGTGTAAAACTGTGTTTTCATCGTGGAGGAGGCATTGGGAGTGCACCCCAGTTTCACAGCTGTAAATAGTGCATGAAAAGGACTCTGGTTTACATAAGCTTTCCAAAGACTAGAGAGAAATCAAACCTCTGCTGCTGCCATGCTGTAAAACACGGGATCAGAACGGATGTCTTTACATGCACCAGTTCCTCCGACGCCACTGAAATGTGCAGGATACTGTCGTTGAGCTTTATAAACCGGAAAAAAAGGATCCTCATTCAATAATGACAATCTGACTGCTAGAATCTAGCCATGCCAACACTTTGGTTTTATAATTCTAAGATTATTGAAGATGACAGAAGGTCATGGAAACCTTTCAGACTTTCTTTTACATTCTGTAATGGAGGGAACTTTGGGGTTTTAGCCTTTGCAGACATGCTAAAAAAGCTGCTTTATTTGGCTAAGGAAACCCAGTAGGGGTGTAACGGTTCACAAACATTTAGGTTCGGTACGTACCTCGGTTTTTAGGTCACGGTTCGGTACAGCAGAATTGTTTTATCACAAAACATAAAATATTTTTTTAATTATTATTATTAAACTGTGAATAATTTATTCACTCGAATAAATACAAAATATAATAAAATAAACTTTAAGGTGCAGCATTTCGATGAACTGAAATAATAATAATTGTATTTTCATGTTTTTTTAAAGAAAGATGAACTTGTCCACATTGCTTGCCGAAAGGGCCGATCTGCTGGCACTAACAATGTCTCCTGCTGTGGAGAACACCCTCTCGCTAGGGACAGAGGTAGCAGCCAGGTAGCGCTTTGCTAACACGGCAACATAAAGATATTGGCGTTTGTAATAGCTTTGGCTCGGTCTGAACTTGTTGCGCGTGGTGGAGGCTTAAATGCTAGTGGGAGTTGGGTTTGACCTTCAGTCTTTTTTCTTTTGGTACCGGTGATATTCACGTTCGGGTGATGCCTTTTCAAGAGTGTGCAAGTTTGGTGTATTGCCAGCCGCGTAACCAATGTTAGTTGAACAATGCCGACAAACAGCTTTGGTTCGGTCCACCTGTCTTTGTCCGTCATCCTTGTACGTAACTGCGAAACCAAAATGTTCCCAAACCGTAGACTTCAATGATGCTGGAGGATTTTCTAGCTCAACTTTATCTGCGTTCGCCATTTCGACAGTTCCTCAAATTACTGACTAAATTTGAACGCACCTGAGAGTACTTCCAAGTTTTTCACGTTCTCAATTTTTTACGCTAAACGTTATATTCGTTCGGTACACGAAGGGCCCATACCGAATATTTTCGATATGTAAACCGTTACACCCCTAAAACCCAGTGATCCTCTCATGGACTCTAGGGTCAACACCCATTCCCCTCTAGACATCTTTAACATGTATCTTTAATTGCGTTCTTTATCAATGCTGTACATTTATTATGTTGCTTATTCTGTGCACATGACATCTATTACATGTATATCCATCTGACCCCTCCGCAGTTTCTTTTGCTGAGGTTTTCATCAATTTCTTACTTACTTAAATGTTGTTATTCCTAATCTGAGTCGAGGGTCCAAGCACAGATGGTGTTATACTCTACAGATGGTAAAGCCCCTTGAGGCAAATATGTAATTTGGGCTACATAAATACACTTGACTTAACTCCCCAGCAAATGTTAGAGAGCAGAATGTTATTCTTGGTGTTGGTAAGAATACATCTATTGAGTCGTCTCTCTCAACGTTTCCTCCTCTCTCTCCTCACAGTTGGAGCTCCAGCGACAGCAGCTGCTCACCGAGCGCCAGGCCTTCCACATGGAGCAGCTCAAATACGCCGAGATGAAGGCGAGGCAGCAGATGGAGCAGCAGGCGGCCGCGGGTGCTGCTGCTGCCGCCGCCCAGGCTCAAGGGCAGGGGCAGGCTCCTGGATCTGGACCCCCTCCACCAGGCATGCACCCCGGAGGGCCCCTGCCTCACCACGGGTCACCGATGACCCACCATGGAGTGGCTCCTCCTGGGGCTGTCATGCACTCCGGCTACCCCTCCATGGGACACCACCAAATGGGCCCCCACCACCCGGGACAGACAGGTGAGAGACAGACGGAGCAGGGGGCCACTGTTCCTGCTTTTAGAGAGTTTTATCAGAAATGGGTTTATCACCAAGTAGGTTGACACGTACGAGGAATTTGACTTGGTGACTACATAAAAGTAAAACAAAAATTAAAAACACAGATAGAGAATTTCAAAAATAATAAAAAATATAACAGTGTTTACATAGAAATGGAATAAAAATCAGCAGTAATCAAAAAGAAAACGGGTATTGTTGTACATTGGGTAATCTGAGTGATAGGGAAGTTAGAGTGAACTATTTCAGCTTGTTTTATTTAGTCCTCTTAGCTTTTTAATAATAGTTTTTAACATGTATTTAAATGTTATTTCATGTGTTTCTTAATGTGTCGTCAGTTTCATTCAGTTCAATATGACATTCTATTAAAAGCAGGACATATGGATTTTAATCTGAGTGATAGGGAAGTGACAGTGAACTATTATATCCATTTTAGCTTGCTTTTATATTCTTTTGGCTTTCTAATTATAGTTTAAGATGTATTTAAATGTCCTTTTATGTGTTTCTTAATGTGTTGTCAGTTCAAAAACACATTCAGTTTAATATGAAACTTATGGATGTTTTCCAATCCATCTTTCTTTATACGGCACATTTAAAAACAAGAGTTGAAGTGCTGTACATCAATAAATATATAAAAAGCAGCTTAAATACATTTGGACAAAAAGAAACTAAGGTAAAAACACGAGACAATAAAACCATACTTCTAGCCACAAACTGAAAAGGCCAAAAACCTTTCTGCCATTGTTTCTTAATGTTTGAAAAGATCTGTTGATAGAGCGATCGGTTTGTGGCCAATCATTGCAGCTCTACGTTCCTCTGCAGTCTTTCTTTACTGATCCGCAGTACATGGATAGTTAGACAAATCATTTAGGTAACATTCCCTCTTTGTGTAAGATACCTTACGCCCTTTTGAATCTCAGTTACACAAAAATCGGAGCACTCTGCGTTTCCCCCCTCTATCACTCAGTCTAAAATACTTCCATTAAAACAAAGTATATATCAAATATATATGTTGGGGCTTAATCCCATATATAAGACTATATAAAAAGACATATAAATATTTAATATATATAAAATCATTTATTATATTACATTATTGCCTCTGCATTGGATTATTATCGGATAGGGTATAACTTCATAATTTACTACATCTGAAAGCAGAAGTCTAGGGCAAATCATTGCACGTCTCTTCAGTGAGTGTCACAAAATGATTTAAAAAGTCCAACAACAAAAAAAGGTGAGATTCTGAAAAAAAGGCAAATTTGAGATGCATTGTGGGACATGTAGTTTATGGGCAACGTGCTTCTGTAAATCGACATGTAACCGTATAATAAACATATTATATTCTTTGCAAGCTCTTGCAGGGCCGCATAAAATGAAGTCACGGGCCGGATTTGGCCCCCGGGCCTTGAGTTTGACACCCCTGATATAAACGGTTTGCAAAGCCTAAAATCCCTGTGAAAATTAGCAATCGGAGCACTCTGGATTCTCCCCTCCATCGCTCACTCTAAAATACTTGCATTAAAACAGAAAGAGGATTTATTTGTGACCAGTAAAGAAAGGAGAAACAACGAAACCCTTTGTTGTTCCTCACCTCTGCCTAAAGGGGACTTAAAAAAGGAACCTCTCCACAATTTCTCCACATGTCTGAATCGTCACCTCTATATGTTCAGGACCGATGGGACCCGGCCAGCCGATCCCGGGCCGTATGATGCCCGGCCCGCCCTCTGCCGGCCCCCCTCCCGGCGGCATGCCTCCCATGATGCCCCCACGCCACCCTGGAGCTCCCAACGGCATGTGTGAGTGCAAATCTCCCTCTTTCACACTTTGCTTGTGCAGTCTGCATGTTTACATATATCACCATGTATGTTTGTGTACGTCAGACTTAGATGATTTGCTTTGAGATGTTGTTTTTTCCCATTTAATTCACCAAAAACAGAATCATTTAAAAATTAAGTCTATATAAAACCCACCACAAACAGCTTCGGAAAAAATAAGAAGGTGTCTGGGAATCTAAACACTATGGCAACACAAACGCTGACAGCTGGTATTTACTTTCAGCTGCAGCTAAGCGTTTGTGTCATTGCTGAAAATATCATCCCACCTCTCGACGAGACTAGTTCTCAACCTTAAGTGTGCATCAACTCCAATCAGGCAGCAGCACGATGACAATAAAGAAACAAGTGATCTGTTTCCCATTGATTTTATCTTTTAATGTTACATTTTCAACCTGTACTGAAGTCCTGCTTTGCTCAGAGAAACTTTAAAGGTCACCTATTATGCAAAATCCTCTTCTTCATGTCTCTTCTACATCAACATGTGTCCCCTCTTCTTCATGTCTCTTCTACATCAACATGTGTCCCCTCTTCTTCATGTCTCTTCTACATCAACATGTGTCCCCTCTTCTCCATGTCTCTTCTACATCAACTGTTGTCCCCTCTTCTCCATGTCTCTTCTACATCACATGTGTCCCCTCTTCTTCATGTCTCTTCTACATCAACATGGTCCCCTCTTCTTCATGTCCTCTTCTACATCAACATGTGTCCCCTCTTCTCCATGTCTCTTCTACATCAACATGTGTCCCCTCTTCTTCATGTCTCTTCTACATCAACATGTGTCCCCTCTTCTTCATGTCTCTTCTACATCAACATGTGTCCCCTCTTCTTCATGTCTCTTCTACATCAACATGTGTCCTCTCTTTCTCCATGTCTCTTCTACATCAACATGTGTCCCCCTCTTCTTCATGTCTCCTCTACATCAACATGTGTCCCCTCTTCTTCCATGTCTCTTCTACATCAACATGTGTCCCCTCTTCTTCATGTCTCTTCTACATCAACATGTGTCCCCTCTTCTTCATGTCTCTTCTACATCAACATGTGTCCCCTCTTCTTCATGTCTCTTCTACATCAACATGTGTCCCCCTCTTCTTCATGTCTCTTCTACATCAACATGTGTCCCCTCTTCTTCATGTCTCTTCTACATCAACATGTGTCCCCTCTTCTTCATGTCTCTTCTACATCAACATGTGTCCCCTCTATCTTCATGTCTCTTCTACATCAACATGTGTCCCCTCTTCTTCATGTCTCTTCTACATCAACATGTGTCCCCTCTTCTTCATGTCTCTTCTACATCAACATGTGTCCCCTCTTCTTCATGTCTCTTCTACATCAACATGTGTCCCCTCTTCTCATGTCTCTTCTACATCAACATGTGTCCCCTCTTCTTCATGTCTCTTCTACATCAACATGTGTCCCCTCTTCTTCATGTCTCTTCTACATCAACATGTGTCCCCTCTTCTTCATGTCTCTTCTAAATCAACATGTGTCCCCTCTTCTTCATGTCTCTTCTTCTACATCAACATGTGTCCCCTCTTCTTCATGTCCTCTTCTACATCAACATGTGTCCCCTCTTCTTCATGTCTCTTCTACATCAAACATGTGTCCCCTCTTCTTCATGTCTCTTCTACATCAACATGTGTCCCCTCTTCTTCATGTCTCTTCTACATCAACATGTGTCCCCTCTTCTTCATGTCTCTTCTACATCAACATGTGTCCCCTCTTCTTCATGTCTCTTCTACATCAACATGTGTCCCCTCTTCTTCATGTCTCTTCTACATCAACATGTGTCCCCTCTTCTTCATGTCTCTTCTACATCAACATGTGTCCCCTCTTCTTCATGTCTCTTCTACATCAACATGTGTCCCCTCTTCTTCATGTCTCTTCTACATCAACATGTGTCCCCCTCGTCTTCATGTCCTGCTTCTACATCAACATGTGTCCCCTCTTCTTCATGTCTCTTCTACATCAACATGTGTCCCCTCTTCTTCATGTCCTCTTCTACATCAACATGTGTCCCCTCTTCTTCATGTCTCTTCTACTCAACATGTTGTCCCCTCTTCTTCATGTCTCTTCTACATCAACATGTGTCCCCTCTTCTTTCATGTCTCTTCTACATCACCATGTGTCCCCTCTGTGTAAGAGGACTCTGAAAGTTTCAGGAACAAAGATTTTCTCTCTTTTTGATCCATTTCTATAAAACCTGTCTGAAAATGAGCTGATCAGATTTTGGGCCACTTTATGATGTCATAACGATTGTTTGCTTGAGTAAACCATTAGCCAATCAGTAACCAAGGTAACCAACCCCCCCCCCCCCCCTTATCACCTGAATCTCCTCCTAGAGCACCATTGAGTTCTTTGTAACCAAATGTCTCTCAGAGGGGCGTGGGGAGGGGCTCCTTATTTTCATCTAAAGTCACAGACAGAGAATCAGCACTTTTGAAACCGGGCTGAAACAGAGGGGATTATGGGTAATACTGCAATGATCTGTTTGGTGTTTCAGCCAATCAGAGACAGGCTCTGTATATATCTGAGACCTGTGATATATTGATGAAAAACAGTATAATATGAGACCTTTAAGTGTAAGAGAGAGTTTGCTTATGCTAAACCAAAGTATGAATATTAAACAGCTGGAGTTGGAAAATGTTGTTTAGCTGCTCGGCAGAATTAATTCTTCAGACTTTATTGAACATTTGAAGTAAATCTGGTCAGGCCAACATTTCTCCTTGTTTTTTAATCACAATACATGTTAAATATTCAAAATAAACAAGCTGGTTTGTGCGTACGTTGAGGTTTTGAATGATTGAGACATGTTCTTTGCATGTAAATGAGTGTCGAAATTACAATTATTACATATAGATAATTAATCTGCAAGATCAATAACCTAATATTCCTGCACCACTTATTATTATTATTATTATTATAACCTAGCCTTCAGAGATCAAAAGCCCACCCACAGATTTAGACCTGCCGCCCCGTCTGCCCTCAGTTTGGAAACCGCTGTCCCTTGGAAACCATCTTGGATTTCCCTTCACCCTTTTTATAAATCGCTTCTTCCTCTCCTGATCTAAAAACTCCATATTTTCTGTTTTCCAGACCCCGGCCCCCCCCCTGCACAGCCTGAGGCGGTGCCTGTGGGTCCTCCAGCGCCCACCAGCGGACGGGTGGCTGACAACTAAGACCTACACACACGCATACACACACACACACATAAAACTATCTCGAAACATCTTTTTGATGTCCTTTGCTACTGGCTCGCCATATTTCCCTCAAAGCGACAATACATTTGATCACAGGACACACACACACACACACACACACACACACACTCAGGGTTCAGTGGCAAGGGTAACCCTATATCCACACACACCCACCCAGAGTTCCTCTCAGGGCACAGTGGCAAGGGTAGTCTAGTAATAAACACTGTTTTCTGCTCGGATGGAGACTGGAGAGAATGAGTGTGTACAGAAAAAGTGTATTTCCTTTTTCTTTCCTTTTTAATGTTTTAAATCACACTGTAACCCCCTCCTGTTTCTTAACACACACACTTCTTCGTGTCTGGTGCCTCTTTTTACAAGCTGAACACTAGGGGGAGCTAGAGAGAGACATGCAGGGGTGTGTGTGTGTGCTCTCAGAGCTGTAACACACAGGCAGGAGGCTTAGCAGCACGTAAAGATATCAATGAAAATGAATAACACACACACACAGAGGTGACCCAGCCTGCTCTTGTCTTGTCGAGTATCTACCTCTTGCCCCTCTTTTAGTGATACACTGAAGTTCTGTCTGTGAATGTGTGTTCAAGTGTTTCATGGCAGAGCAAAATACATTTTTAAGTCTTTCGCCACAAAAATTTATATCTAAAATAAAGTTGTATTTTTTTTTTGTAATCTGTTCTAAAAGGTTCCTTGACCCAAACAAATATGGCTACTGGACATATTTGTCCCAACTGGGTGCAGGCTGAATATGATTACATTGTTTGTCTAGTTTTCGACAAACAAAAGTGTCTCCTTAAAATAGGAAATGATTGGCTGCATACTTCTGTCAGTTTGGCTCTGAACACAAAGCCTAATAACTATTTATGATAATGCTAATCTATAACAATCTGTCAGAACAGCCGACTAGGTTTTAGCAAATGTTACTTAAGCGGAAGTAAACAAAGCCTCGTTGTGTCTGTTTTAGCAGCAGATTAGAATCATTCAGTCAGTACTTCAATGTGGGATTTAATCAAATAACTGTTTATGGTGATAAAAAAACATGCCACCTGTTATATAATGTGGCCTTTCGTTGTGTAAAGCAAAGAGATGTATACAAGGAAGAATCTATTTATGGCTGCGGATTTGTTGAAGATAATATAAAAAACGTTAAAATCAAAAGACACAAACCGAGACGCCATAATAGGAAAGACAGAGAAAAACTGTATTTATCCTTCTGCCACACAAACACACACAGAAATGTAAGCTAAGCTGAGGCTCACACTGGAGGCGACACACACACCGACTCGGCCTGACCCTGCCACAAAGCACTGGACCATCACACACACACACATGCATTAAAACACACTTAAAAAGAGAGGTAGACGCTTTGATGCAGCTCGACTGAAACAGCGTGTTGGGCTTCTAGATGTTTCTTAGGTGCTGATACTGTAGCGATTCACTCCTCCTCTCCTTCCTCTTCTGCTCACACTCCTAACGCCTAGTGCTGCCTACCTCGCTAACCCCACCTCTCTCACACACACTTCCATGCACAGCCATGTTTGCTTTTTAGCCACTAGCAAACAGGAAGCAATATCCTCATTCCTGTGTATCATCGTAAGCAATTATGATTCCACGTTTTAGTTTTCAATTCTGTTACTGATGAGGGTTAAGTAAATACAAAAAGTGCATAAACAACGTGGACAACCACCAAATGTGTATTTAAGGAGCTTTAATCGAGTAGTCGAGCAACAGAACTGAATTAGCCTGGTACATTTTGAGATTTTTCAAGCTAAAAGTAACAAATCTTCTCTGTTTCCAGTTTTCAAATGAGAATATTTTCAGTTTCTTGGTCCTAAAATGTTGTTAGACAAAACATATTTTAGTTTCGGACTGTTAGTCCTGACAAAAATAGACATTTGGAGAAACCAGCATAATTTCTGACTTTTTATTGCCTGAAAAGTAGAGAAAATAATCTGCCATATTCCGTTTGTCAAGAGATTTAATACCATGACAAGCAGATATTTGGTATATTCTCACTACAAGATCCAATAGTACTCATCTTAATTGTGTTGCAGAATATTCCTCAGCAGTCCTGGTATTTTCAATGTTTGAATTTCCATTTCTTTCTGCTTATTTATCTACTTTTTGTCAATGTTGGGTTAAAAAATTCAATCTGAAAGTCAATGTTAAAAACAGCAGATGGACTCAGTAACCATGAAAATCAATAAGTAGCTGATCTGCAGCTCAGGATGCCCAGGGATCCTTAAAATGCTCAAAATTGAACAATCACAATTCCATGACGACTGTTGAGCAATCCAAAGATCAAGAAAGGCTTTTAAAGGAACATGTGGTTGGATTTGTTTCAACCAATAGACGGATAATCATTTTTAATAAAACAGACGTGTGATCTGAACTCGAGTGGCTCTACTCTTCTACTTAACATGGCGTTCTACAGGTTGATAATAAGCTCCAAAAAGGTTGTGTTTGATTGGAAGTCGTGACTAAAACCACTCCTCTCCCTTCTTCGCTAGCACCGTTAGCATCTCTGCTACCTCTTCCTCGTTTGTCCGCTAGCTACCTCTTCTAGAAATCTTCCTCTCGCTCTCTGCTACCTCTCTGCGCATCCCTTCGCTACCTCTCCTTTCTTTTTGTACCTTCCCTGCCCACATGACTGCTGCATCACTGACTGTTGCCCTCTTTCTTGTCTGCTGGAGGATTAAGACACACTCTCATTCGACTCCTTTCCCATTCAGCATCTTATCCAGGCTTGTTATGTAATGTCACTTAAATATGACGGAAATCCCCCCCACCCCCAACATATATTATCCTTAATCGATACTCTTTTGTGTTAATGGTAATGTATTTTTAACAAAGAAAGTTTTGTGTAGATGGAAGTTATCTTTGTTCTTTGGAAGTTTGTAGCATATGTTGTTTTTTTTTCTTTTGTATGGGGTCTGTTGGTACTTGGACCTAGACACTGAATAAACTGTTTTGTATGAGATTGATGTCCCGATTTATTTATTTTTAATACATTTCCCTTCCATAAGCCAGGCTGAATCCCACACTCTTACCTTTCCCTACGAGGGAGAAGTGGAAGCTTGTTGTATTTTGTTTTCAACAGGGTTCGTACGGTCATTAAAAACCTGGAAAAGTCATGGAAATTCAAAATGCAAATTCCAGGCCCTGTGAAAGTTATGGAAAACAATATTTTTACCAAAGTTTTGGAAAAGTCATGGAAATGTAACTAAAATTGCATCAAATATAATTTATATTTGATCTAATCGCCGAAATAGTAATAGTATAATAATGATAATAAATACTGTATCGTATAATAATGAAACGTAAAATGGCATTTAACTGTCGAGGTATTTAGCTGGTGAGAGATGAGTTTCTTTAGCCGGTAGAAGCTAGTAAGCCTATTTGATTTGTTTTAGATGGGCATAACATGTTTCATATGCAGACCTTATTTTCCTGTTCCATGTTAAAATAAACTATTTTCAGTGGTACCGCTGCGAAGAGTAATTTTTTTGGTCATGGAAAATCAGGTAAAGGTTATGGAGAAGTCATTGAAAAAGTGTATGAACCCTGTTTTAAAGGCTGATCCAGGTTAAGGAAACGTATGTGTTGGTTCACACTGTGGTCAGAAGCTTAACCGGCACAGTGTGACTTCGAGCCACTGCATTACATTTGAGCACATAAATTGGCTCATGCTGCTAAAGAAAACCTGCACTAACAACTCGGTGGGACATTAACACAAAAATAAAAGGGTACAATATAAGCTTTTACAAACAGATTGTGTGCCCTAATCCAAATGGAAAAAGGTTTTGCATACTCTTTCAACATTTAAAGCTGACTTGAAAGGGTCCCTGTTGTGCTCATTTTCAGGTTCATATTTGTATTTTGTGCCTCTACTGTTTCCATAGTTTAATGTTAAAGATCTTTATTTTGCTCATACTGCTTGTGTGGCAGCACCTCTTTTCACCCTCTGTCTGAAACCAGAGCCCAGTCTGCTCTGATTGGTTAGCTGGCCGGCTCTGTTGTGATTGGTCAACCACTTTTTAGACCATTAACAAACCTATACAGGAAAGGGATAACCCCAAAAAGCATAATAAGGCCCTTTTTAAAATATATACATGCAGGGCCGTCCCTCCCTACAGGCCGATCATGCAGGCTGCATGGGGCCTCACATTGCGCAGGGGGCCTCGGCTTATGAGCTCGGCTTGTGCGCAGTTCTCCACGCCCCCTTTTATCTGCTAATGAACAGGAGGAAGAGTGATAAACTGTGTCTAGTTGGCTTACATAACAGTTAAAGTTTACAGCCTAAAAAACATGGAGCATTTTTCCCCTTTTATTCATTTTTATGTCAATTTGCACATTTCATGGTGACGCTCAGCCTCTCCCCTTAACTCCTAACAGTCATCATCATGGTGACGCTCAGCCTCTCCCCTTAACTCCTAACAGTCATCATGTCAACCACAACACAGAGAAATACTGATAGAAATGTGGGTGTAGTTGTTGATACATTGCTGACAGAGGGAACTACATGTTAATACAGATTTAAGAAGTATCTTAAAGTCTTATAGTTTTGTCTTGACTATACTACAACTATATTATAATAAAAGAATACAGTATTTATATTATTGAATTGATTATGATTATTATTAGAAGTAGTTTATTTGCATAAATAATATTCTAATCTTTTTGAGGCTAGTGTTTGGCAGGAAATGCAGACGTATTCACCTGTAAACGAATACTGAACGACATACATGGACATTTACCATTTACCTCACTGTTTAAAAAAGTAACTTTGTTGATGATAATAATAATAATAAACAGGAATTATATTTGCAAAGTACTTTGTTTCCTAAAACAAAGGGGGGGGGGGGCTCATCTCACAATGTCGCTTGGGGCCCCAAATTGGCCAGGGACGGCCCTGTATACATGCAATCAATTAAGGATTTGTAATAGTATCATGTTTTGCTGGTGCTATTTCACCGCTGGTCTGGAGTATGAGAGCAGGATTAACTGAGACTATATTTATTCAGCTCTTCAAATAGAAAAAGGAAACGTCATGTTTGAGTATTAGTGCCATAAAAACACAGATGGATCGAGTAAATGGTGAAAACGGTAATCTGGAGATGAAGGATGTTTCTGTGTTTTCCCCTTTTGTGGTCTGTTTCCTGACAGACTGCAGCTCCGGGAGGATCTGGATTATCTACTCGTGTCTCTCCTGCCTTTGTGTTGGGATTAGAGACGCTGCTACATAACATCTGCATAGCGTCATTGTGAAATAATGTGTGTGTGTGAACCAGTGACATCACAGGTTTATCAGGCTGGGTGTGCTTCAGTTTTATTTGTAAACGTATATTTTTATTTTTGATATTTTGCGGTTAAACGAGTATACTTTTTTCTTCTCTGGTTATTTTTTTAATTGAATAAATGTTGATTACGTTAAACATCAAAATGAGTATTAGATCAATTAAAATGACTTGTAGGAAATCAGGGAATATATATTTGAAGCTTTAAAGGTAGGGTAGGTAAGAATGGAGACACCATGTTCGTGCGCTAGAATTTGAAAGTACGCAGCCGAAAAAAATCTGCCCCTTCCTTACAGAGCCCTTCCTCCAACACACACGAACGCACACGAGATACATTTGTGCACAGATGGAAGGCTGACAGGCAGGTAGGCCATCCAGTTATTTTAGCCGGGCCGGCTCATAGATGATTGGTCGTGCTTTTTACAGCGCCACGGCTTCCAGAGATGAATTATTTGTATGTATTTATTGTCAAAGCACTTAATGTATTCATTGCTATCGGGATGTCAAGAGCATTCCATGGAATATAACAATAAGTGTTTCTGAAGTGAATTACCTACCCTACCTTTAAATCAAACATGTATCACATCATTCCTTATCGATGTGATTTAATTTTAAGGAATGTCTATATAAAGAAATGACAATGATTCATTTAATAGATTTGAAAATAGCAGCATCGATATATCAAGTGCAAGAGAAGACACCCCTGTAATAAAGAGCATTTAAAGTACATTCAATGTAACTGATCTACTTGAGAAACTATGATACAGTTAAACTATATTTCTACATGTTAGAAGTACATTATAATATACACAATCACCATGGTTACATAGTGAACCGTGTTGGATTGACGCTGCATTTTTCATTTTGGAACCATAGGATTACTTTCTGTATTTCTTTATCCAATTCGCTACAGCAAGCCCTGAACCAGGGGCTTTTTGCCCGGCACGTCATGAGGGGAGAACATGTTTTTAGCATCTGTGTGTGTATGGATAATGTGAGTCCTGTTGAAAACCTAATCTCAGCCAGCACTGTAATCAATCAATCAATCAATCAATGTTTATTTATATAGCCCAATATCACAAATGTTACATTTGTCTCAGTGGACTTTACAGTTTGTACAAAATATCAGTATGACAATACGACACCCTCTGTCCTTAGACCCTCACATCGTACAAGGAAAAACTTCCGGAGAAAACCCACAGTTTAAAGGGAAAAATGGGAGAAACCTCAGGGAGAGCAACAGAGGAGGGATCCCTCTCCCAGGACGGACAGACGTGCAATAGATGCCGTGTGTAAATTGAAAAGATAATACATTTGCAACATAGGTAGTCCAAATGTTTGGAAATGCATGTGTGTATAATAGGAAGATGAATCCACAAGGATATCCATCCAGGACCTATGATCCAGGACCACAGCCACGACTCAAGATCCAGGGCTCGCGATCCAGGACAGAGGAGCGCAGGATCATCCATGACTCCGGATCCCGGCGTATATAGACACCAAAAAGAAAGACATTTGGGGAAGCTGGGTTAATCGGAACATGAGAGTACACAGGTATAGACAGAGAGAAGGAAGAAGTAAGATGTCCCCCGACAAACTAAGCCTATATCAGCAAAACTAGGGGCTGGATCTAATCAGCCCTAACTATAAGCTTTATCAAAAAGGAAGGTCTTAAGCGCACTCTTAAAACGGATAGGGTGTCTGCCGCCCGAACACAAACTGGAAGCTGATTCCACAAATGTGGAGCTTGATAAGAAAAGGCTCTGGCTCCCATTGTACTTTTAGAGACTCTAGGAACAACCAACAACCCTGCATTCTTGGAACGCAATGCCCTAGTAGGACAGTAGGGTATAATGAGTTCTTTAAGGTAAGATGGCGCCTGCCCATTAAGGGCTTTGTAGGCGAGAAGAAGAATTTTAAATTCTATCCTGTGTTCTATAGGGAGCCAGTGTAAGGCAGCCAGAACAGGAGTAATGTGGTCCCTTTTCCTAACTCTGGTTAGTACACGAGCCGCAGCATTTTGAATCAGCTGAAGCGACTTGACTGACTTCTTGGTACACCCTGATAATAAAGAGTTACAATAATCCAGCCTTGAAGTAACAAATGCATGGACTAGTTTCTCTGCATCGTTTTGAGGCAAGATATGCCTGATTTTTGCAATGTTACGTAGATGGAAGTAGGCGGTCCTTGAAATTGATTTTATGTGGGCGTTAAAGGATAAATCCTGATCAAATATAACACCAAGATTCCTTACAGTCTCACTGGAGGCCAAATTAATGCCATCCATAGTTAGTATATCCTTAGATAATTTGTTTCGTAGATTCTTCGGGCCAAGTACAATAACTTCAGTTTTGGTCGTGTTTAACATCAAAAAGTTTAAGGTCATCCACGTTTTTAAGTCCTTAAGGCAGTCTTGAATTTTATTTAGATGATTAATTTCATCAGGCTTGATTGATAAATATAGTTGAGTATCATCCGCATAACAATGAAAGTTTACAGAATGATTCCTTATAATATTGCCTAACGGAAGCATATATAATGTGAACAAAATAGGTCCGAGCACTGAGCCCTGTGGCACTCCATGGCTAACTTTGGTTTGCGTGGAAGATTCATCATTGACACGTACAAACTGAGAGCGTTCAGATAGATAGGACCTAAACCAGCCTAAAGCAGTTCCCTGTATGCCAACTAAGTGCTCTAGTCTTTGCAATAAGATATCATGGTCGATAGTATCAAATGCAGCACTGAGATCGAGCAAAACAAGAATAGAGACACGTCCCTTGTCAGAGGCTATTAGAATGTCATTTGTGACTTTAACCAGAGCTGTCTCTGTGCTATGATGTGTTCTAAAGCCAGACTGAAAAGCTTCAAATAAATCATTGTTTTTTAAGTAATCACACAACTGTTTTGCGACCGCTTTCTCAAGAATTTTTGAGAGGAACGGAAGATTAGAAATAGGTCTATAGTTGGCTAAAACCTCTGGATCGAGGTTGTGCTTTTTAAGAAGCGGTTTTATCACTGCTACTTTGAATGATTGTGGAACATAGCCTGATAATAAAGACATATTCATAATATTTAATAAATAAGTGCTAATTAATGGAAAAACTTCCTTCAACAGCTTAGTTGGAATTGGGTCTAACATACACGTTGATGGTTTAGAAGAGAGAATCATTGAATTTAATTGTTCAAGGTTTATGGCTGAAAAGCATTCTAGTTTACTATCTAGTGTAATATTAGAACTTACGTTTCCGGGAGCTGTTGATAACACTATACTGGTCAAAGGCAAGAGGTCATTAATTTTGTTTCTAAGAGTAACAATTTTATCGTTAAAAAAGCACATAAAATCATTACTACTGAGTGCTATGGGAATAGAAGGCTCAATCGAGCTGTGGCTCTCTGTCAGCCTGGCTACAGTGCTGAAAAGAAATCTTGCATTATTCTTATTCTCATCTATTAATGAAGAGTAGTAGGCTGCTCTCGCTTTACGCAGTGCTTTCTTATATTCATTGAGAGTAATATGCCAAATTAAACGAGATTCTTCAAGTTTAGTAGAACGCCATATCCTTTCAAGTTGTCTCGACTTTTGCTTTATTTTGCGGGTTTCGGCATTATGCCATGGAGCTAGTCTATGTTGTTTTATTTTCTTCTTTTTCAAAGGAGCAACAGAGTCTAATTTTATTCGCAGCGCATCTGTAGCACTATCAACAACATGATCAATTTGGGGTGGTGTACATTTTGTATAAGTTTCCTCCCTTACATGCAGACATGCTATCGAGTTAAGTATTGGTGGAATCTCTTCCTTAAATTTGGCTATAGCACTAACAGATAGGTTTCTGCTGCAGGAGCTTTTGACTAATGCTTTGTAGTCTCGTAACAGTACTTCAAAAGTTACTAAGAAATGGTCGGATAAAGCAGGATTATGCGGTTCGACTAATAGTTGCTCAATTTCAATACCATAAGTCAGAACAAGGTCGAGAGTGTGATTATAGCAGTGGGTTGGTTTATTTACACTCTGACAAAAACCAACAGAATCTAATATAGAGTTAAATGCAACAGTAAGGCTATTTTTATCATCGTCAACATGAATATTAAAGTCACCTACGATAATTACTTTATCTGTTTTAAGAACCAAAGTTGATAAAAACTCAGAGAATTCAGATAAGAATTCTGAATAAGGACCTGGTGCACGGTACACTGTAACAAATAAGATTGGCTGCAAAGTTTTCCAGGTCGGATGCGTAAGACTAAAAACGAGACTTTCAAAGGAGGTATAATTTAATTTTGGTTTAGTATTGATAAGTAAACTTGAGTCAAAGATTGCTGCAACTCCACCTCCTCGGCCCGTGCCTCGGGCAATATGAGTATTGATATGGCTGGGTGGAGTGGCCTCATTTATGCTGACATATTCTTCATGTCTCAACCAAGTTTCAGTGAGACAGCATATATCAATATTATAATCTGATATTAAATCATTTACCAATATTGCTTTAGATGCTAGAGATCTTATGTTTAAGAGACCACATTTAATATTCCTGTTTTGTTGCACTGTAGTAGTTGTTACATTTACTTTTATTAGGTTATTATGTATGACACCTCTATTAGGTTTTACCTTAACTTGTCCTTGGGCAGACACACACACCGCTAATATTGGGTATTTTATTGGGTTCGGGATTCCTATGGATGAATCTGGTGAGGGGGGTCGCAGTCCGGCAGATTGACCACGAGGATGTTATTGAGAGGGATGAAGAGCCAGAGGGTGATTATGTGGGATGGGAAGAGGAGGGGGCGGAGCTGGGAACATGTTTAGTGTCAGAGAGGCAGGTGGACCGAGCTCTCCATAGAGTGGTGCGGGAATGAGTCCTACAACCTCGAAATGAGTCAGCATTTTAACACTTCCGGTTCACTCGAAGTTGTGTTTTTGGTTTGAAGCCTGAAATAAGGTCTGCAGTTAACACAAGCTTACAATATTTTCTCATTTTCTTCTACCACAGAAATGTATACGTTAGTAAAGGCTGACCAACAGGCGTTCCTCTAGTAATGCTAACATGGAGAGGGATGTCATTTTTATTTTATTTCTATTTCAGATTGGGATCAATAATGTACTATATATCCATCGATATATCTATCTACCTATACCTACCTACATACCTCTCTCTACCTACCTACCTACCTACCTACCTACCTAGCTACCTACCTCTCTCTCTCTCTCTATCTTTCTATCTATCTATCCATCTATATATCTATCTACCTATACCTACCTACCTAGCTACCTATCTCTCTCTCTCTCTCTATCTTTCTATCTATCTATCCATCTATATATCTATCTACCTATACTACATACCTCTCTTTACCTACCTACCTAGCTACCTACCTCTCTCTCTCTATCTATCTATCTATCTATCTATCCATCTATATATCTATCTACCTATACCTACCTACATACCTCTCTACCTACCTAGCTACCTATCTACTCTCTCTCTCTCTCTCTCTCTCTCTCTATCTTTCTATCTATCTATCCATCTATATATCTATCTACCTATACTACATACCTCTCTTTACCTACCTACCTAGCTACCTACCTCTCTCTCTCTCTCTATCTATCTATCTATATATCTATCTATCTATCTATCTATCCATCTATATATCTATCTACCTATACCTACCTACATACCTCTCTCTACCTACCTAGCTACCTACCTCTCTCTCTCTCTCTCTCTCTCTCTCTATCTTTCTATCTATCTATCCATCTATATATCTATCTACCTATACCTACCTACATACCTCTCTACCTACCTAGCTACCTATCTCTCTCTCTCTCTCTCTCTATCTTTCTATCTATCTATCCATCTATATATCTATCTACCTATACTACATACCTCTCTCTACCTACCTACCTAGCTACCTACCTCTCTCTCTCTCTATCTATCTATCTATCCATCTATATATCTATCTACCTATACCTACCTACATACCTCTCTCTACCTACCTAGCTACCTACCTCTCTCTCTCTCTCTCTCTCTCTATCTTTCTATCTATCTATCCATCTATATATCTATCTACCTATACCTACCTACATACCTCTCTCTCTCTCTCTCTCTCTACCTACCTACCTCTCTCTCTCTCTATCTATCCATCTATCTAATCTTTTTACTTTTAGATACACCTTACTATTACTGTATAGAACTATTGGTTATATTATACATTTCCTTTTGAAGCTTGGGTAAGTACAATTGGATAAGCTAACAAGAGTAAATTATAGTTTTTAAATTATCAAACCAGAAAACCCAGGCCGATGAAGCTAACCGATTGATGTAGCTAGCAGTGTTAGCTTCAAAACTTGCTAAATCTAGCGGGGAAATTCACCAAGTTGGCAACACTGATCTTTTCCTTGGGGCATCCCTCCAAAACCACTCCTTAATTTATCTTAATGAACATAAAGAATGACCATGGCTACTGCTAATACCCTAGCTAGTATCTTCTGGAAGACTCATTGTGATGAAGCACACTTTGTTGACTTAAAGGTTTATTTGAATTTTTTTACATTTTTAAGATAACTTACACAACAGATATACTTTATTGTCCCAGAAAGGGAACTCCTCCAAATTGGATCTGACTTTCAAACCTCTCAGCTCTTGTTGCAGCCCCTCGACTTTCCCCTATCCCCTATTTGCATTTTGCTGAGGCTTCTTCTGAAAACACGTCTGACAGCGAGTGAGGAAGTAGGGGTCAAGTGTTTTACACAAGGGCATTTTGACTTGACACAAACCCTGACCTGTAAGAGTCTCTTTTCACAATGTGCAGGGATGCCGGTATCAGATCTATATTTAGATATTGTTTTTCATTTTCTTCCAGGTTTTGACTGTCTATCCTTGCCTGACAGGAATGAGGCTGACAGCGAGAGAGGAACATGATTGACAGGTGTCTGCTGAGATTTACTCTCACGTGAGTATTTGGTATTTGGCTGAATATTCTTATTCTTATGTCAGCCTGCATCACATTTAAGAGGTGTTAAAAGCTCATTAAACCTAATTTAAACACCTCATACGTGTCACATGACATTGCTTTTGTGTCACGTTAAGATTTTATTATTACTGTGCATGTACCTTTAATTATTTGGATGAATTTTATATTTTAAAAACCCTATGTTGCTCTATCTTGCGGTAAATTTTTGCAGATCATAAGATTAACTACTTTCTGTTTTCTACAGTTTAACTTTTTATTTCCCTCAGCTGTATTTGCTCAGTCAATCCCTTATATTCTCCAGTTGCATCCATCCTTTTAACTTCTCATGCAGCCCCCCTGCTTGTGTAGAGAGTAAATAAATCAACAAAGGAAAGATATATATTTAATATATCTGAGAACATTTATACAAATAAAAATACCAATCAGTATTATTGTATCATTGTGTAATGAACGGCAGCTCCTATCGATGTTTTTCTGTAACTATCCAAGTCTGTCCACAGTTTCTCATAATGCCAGAGCCCTTACCGTGTTCCTGTTGGTGTTTACTTCCTGTCTGCCTTCTTCTGGTGATTTCTCTGACGTCCAGCGCTCTGTCTCTGTACCTCTTTCGTCCTCTCTCTTGATCCTCCTTAGCAATGGGCACTATTCTGCTTAACAGCCGTGTGCTATTGGGTATTAACAACCTCTGAAATATCCGTATTGACCAATACATATATCAATATATATAGTACACCTGCACAGACAGCTCACCCTAAAACACTTTGTGTCAATACTGCAGGTTGTTTGTGTGTTCATGCACCTTTTCATAGATTACATTTCCCAGAGTCTGCATGCTTATGAGGGTTACATGTGTTTGTGTCCATGTCACACATACAGGTTGCAGTCTCACTACATTGCATTGTGATGTGTGTGTGTGTGTGTGTGTGTGTGTGTGTGTGTGTGTGTGTGTGTGTGTGTGTGTGTGTGTGTGTGTGTGTGTGTGTGTGTGTGTGTGTGTGTGTGTCATAAAAAATGGAGAAGGCTAAAGTAGGCCAGCAGTTCATGAGCTTGAAGGAGCCGCGCAAAGACGTCTCCCTCCTCCCACGCTGCCTTCCTCTTTGTCCTCCTCCTCCTCAGAGCCGTTGTCTTTCATTGTCCTTTGTCTCACTCCATCCGAGGTACAGTGAGCGACAAGGACCAACAATTATGTCTAAAAGCATTAGCAAGACAATTACTAAATGATCTTAAATACAAAATACACTTACAACAATAATGCACCTAAAATCTTAGTTTTTTCCGGCTCAGAGATTAATTAATAACTTATCAAAAATAATATAATTTGTGTTTCAGCACGAATGTGCTAGATTTGTACAATCACAGGCTCATCTCTGTCTTATTGTATACAAATCTAAGGTTTAAGGTTTTTAAACTAGTGTTAAATATGTTGTACGACTTATTATGCATGTATATTTCATTTACAGTTCCTTCATTTACAATCCCTGTACGGTGGCTGACAGAGGCAAACACGTAACAACGGACCAAATGTCCATTAGAAGAAACGCTCTGCACTTTAAAAACCATATATAAAAACTAGGGCTGTCAAACGATTAACATTTTTAATCAGATTAATCACAGCTTTAAAATTAATTAATCATGATTAATCACCATTCGAACTATGTCCAAAATATGCCATTTATTTATGTATATTGTTGTGGGAATGGAAAGATAAATGAAAGAAGGCGGATATATCCATTTAACATACAGTATCTATGTTTATTATAACATTTTTCTGCGTGTCAAAATGAAAGACAAGCCACACACCTATCAGTCATCAAACCGTGGGGTCTTAATTCATTACGTGTTGATTTCTATCAACGGGAGAGTACTTCAGGAAAGTCGACAGAGGGGGGGTGGGGGGGGGGGGGGGGGCGGCGGCGGCTAGTGGCGTACTTCGTGACCACAGAGTGTGAACGTTGTGATCAGCTGTTTTAGCGCAGTTCTCCAGTGAAGGGGGGGGGGGGAGGGAGTCTCCCTCCGCCGCCGGTTGGCGTAGTTTTGGCACAATTCCGTTGTACAGACCGACGTTACCAGCAGCCCTGTCTGTGCACACGGAGACCGACTCTGTCGTCCGGTGATCTAACCGCCTTCTGGAAAAGCTTCACAAGTACGTCGGTACGCAAATGCGCTTTGTGACACAAGTGACGGTAGCCTACGCATTTCAGATTACGCACATAACCTGCGTACCAGTTATGTGCACCCCTGACCATATCATCCTATCAGCACTTGTGGAATTATACCATTGTGTTGTTTACGTTGTTTTACATTCTTCCAATCAATCCTGTTCCACTTAAATACTTTCATTTCATTTCATTTCAAACCTTTATTTAACGAGATTGGTCCCATTGAGATCATAGATTTCATTTCATTTCATTTGTATTTGTCCCGCTCATGGTACGCAAAACCAAATGTACAATAATTGCCACAAAACATGACTACTAACACTAAGTACACACTAAGTCTTATTTTTGCATTTGTCTACAGTGGATCTAATTTCAATTTCGTTTATCTCTCCCAGAAACATTGACTGCAACACTTTACTTCCCCCAATTCCGCCATCCTCTTTTTGCCCATCGTGTTGTTTTGGAATAGTCTTTGCAAGATTAGGGTCCGACATTTACAAAAAAAGAGTTGAATTCATGTACCACTTCATTCATGTTTTTTACAACCTTATTTTTGTCATCAATGAAGTGACTTGGCAGGCCAGTGGATACAGATTTATTTCCAATAACATTATTTAAGATTTTCCATGTGCCCTTGATATCATTTTTCTTTTCTTTTAACATATTATTATAATATTCTCTTTTTGCTTGTCTCATTATAACTGTCAACTTATTTTGATATGCCTTGTATTGCTTTTCAATTGCCTTTGTCCTAAATATTATGAAGTCTTTATAAAGGTTATTTTTCTTCTTGCAAGCATTTTGTAAGCCCTTGGTTATCCAAGGCTTTTGATGATAAGTACCTTTATATGTACGGAGTACAGTGGGACAATGTTTGTCATACAGTGATATGTAGATTGTTAGGAAGGACTCATATGCAGCATGTACATCTTCTACATAAACCCCTCTCCACTCTTCCTTTAAGAGGTCACTCCTAAATTTGTCTTTTGCTTCAGCAGTCCTTACCCTGACATATCTACTGCAAGTCTCTTCCTTCTTTTTCTTTAATTGCCAATCATATGCTACAAATACAGGTAAATGGTCGCTTATGTCGTTGATTATTAGCCCACTCTTAGCACTGTTTTCCATGACATTTGTAAAGATATTGTCGATCAATGTTGCACAAGTTGATGTTATTCTACTGGGCTTAGTGATTAGGGGATAAAGCCCCCTGCTGTACAAAGCATCCAGGAAATCAGAAGTTGTTTTGTGTTTAGATACATTTAGAAGATCGATGTTAAAATCCCCACAAATAATACATGTTTTATTTTCATTTAGGCCATCCATTAATACTCCTAAACTATCTTTAAAAAAACTCTACATTTGATCCTGGTGCTCTATATGCACAAGTCACAACAACATTTCTCTTCCTTTCCATTTCAATTTCTATAGTTATGCATTCCATTAAATCATCAGTCACAATTGACATTTTTTCAACCAGTGTGCATTTTAGGACGCTGTCCACATAAAGAGCCACACCCCCTCCTCTCTTATTGGTTCTGTTGATATGGTGTAGCACGTAACCCTCAATTTGGAAATCAGTGACTTCGTCTTTATTTAGCCAAGACTCCGATATGGCAATTACTTTGAATTTACTTTGAAATGTATGTAGGTATTCAGTGATCTTATTAAAGTTTGCATACAGACTCCTGCAGTTGAAATGTATTAAAGAAAATGTATTTTCAAGTCCAACATTGTCATTAAATTGATCATCGGTATAATATTTACACGAGTCACTTATATGATTAAACACATGATTCTCTGAATCGATATCATAATCAAAATTGTACATGTTATACTCTGTGTTGTCAAATCTGGAAAAGATTCCGAGTGGCTCAGTCATTTATGTGTTGTTATTGTTTTCCATGTACGTCTGCAGTTAACTCCCTCCACACATACCTGTTCATTCCTTTGCTCTTTCATGCCGATCAAGCGAGTCAATTAATGTCTTTACGTCCGACATCAGCTCACATCCTGGGGTTCTCCGGTTCCTGGATCGGTGTGTCTGCCATCCTGAAGCCTGAAGAGTAGACTCCAAGTCCGGTTCTCCTGCTGGACTCTCCATGCTGACACCATACTCCAGTAGACCCTGTGCCGCATCTTGTGGGTTGTTAAACACCCTGACTTTTCCGTTTTTCTCGAATAATTTCAGTTTAGCAGGGAACAGAATGCGGGATTTGATGTTTCTTTCCTGGAGCTGCTTCCTTACTTGTCTGTATTTTGCGCGCTCCTTGAACACTTGGGTGGTGAAGTCCTCATCAAAGAAAATCCTGCAATCTTTCACCCTAATGTCCTTCTTTGCCCAGGCGGCTTGTAGCGCCCTTTGCCTCACGTTGTAGTTTTGGAAGCGGACTATTATTGATCTGGGACGGTCGCTGTGCCCAGTGAGATGCCCCGTTGCCCGGTGCGCTCTCTCAATGGGAATTTCGCCGCTCACATCCAGTTTCTCGCGTATTAAGTTTCCCACAAAGTCCATCATGCTATTTCCCTCACATTTTTCGGGCACTGAATAAATCCTCAGGTTGTTCCGTCGTTCCCGGCCTTCAAGTTCCTCACATTTATTTTCCAGTTGCTTTTGCATGCGTAAACTGTGAAGGAGTACTTTTGTCATACCGATTTCACGGTCTTCATTTTCTGCGATTCTTAATTCTGCTGCATCCGCTCTTATTTTCAGCTCTCCGAAGCCTTCTCTCAAGTCGTTTATTTCCTCCTTCAATAGTCCAAAATTCCCAGCAGTTTCCATGCGGAATTCTCTGATTTATTTTAATATTTCAGAGAGGCCTTCCCCTCCCTCCTCAGGTATTTTTGCCTCAGGCGGATTCATTGTGCCGGCCTGTTTCTGTTTTTCTTTCTGGCTGAACCGTGTTGACATTTCCCTTTCGTTTTTCTTTATCTTCTGTAAATAAAAAAATTATTTGCGCAGTCAACCCGCCCTATTGTTACACTCTCAGTTCCCGGATTCCTACAAAATAACTCAATTGTTTGCAGCGTGTTTTCACCTCCGCACCAGCTAGGCAGCCATCTTTAAACTATAGTATGCAATTTCATTTTGCATATTTATGATTTGCTTTGGCATGCAAATGTGTTGATAGTTTGGAATATGTGACTGTAGAGTAGTAAGGTTTACGCAGCAAAAGAAAGTAAAGCAAAACTGTTGAGGTCGCTGTGGTGGAAATTCCACACTTAATCACCTTCTGGTAATAAAATAACAAATATACAAGCTTAAACCAAAGCTGTGTTATTTAATAAAGAGTTATAGCATTTAACAGAATCAATCTTAATCAATCTTATTCCCAGCTGGAAGGACAGATAACCTGCACCAATGAGTGCTTAAGACATCTGACCTCGATCAAACAAATGACAAGACTCTTTAAGTGAAGAGAGCAAAAGATGGGAAGGGGGAACAGCCAATGAAATTCTACATGACAGGGTATGGAAGATTGGTGGCTAGACAGGGGTTAAGTGATGATCATTCACCTGACAATGGTCACCGTGGCACCCTTCTGTCTGTTGAATGGTTTGACAAAGTGGAGCAGGGTTTCTATGTACCGAGAAGTGGGTAGTTTAATGAGTCTAGATCTCTTTTTCAAGGGAGACCTGCAGCATATAGGTTCCACATGAAACATAAAACAATAAAGGACATTATACATTATATTTACAGGATACATTTACATAGTTATAGACATTTACAAGTGCCCATAGTATCAACGAGCATTTCATTTAGCCTAGCTTTAAAAACATGCAGAGGAATGAAATTGCTCAGTTTCAATTCTTGCTGAAGATTGTTCCAAGCAAGCAGTGGTGGTTCTAGACCAATTTGACTGGGGGGGCCACTGGGGGGCCAGTTATTTTCTGAGGGGGGCACAATAAATGCAGGACGAAAAAGAGAACTAGACAGTATGAAGTAATTGCGCATAAGAAAACAATGCAATACAGTTATTGGAATTTGTTTTAGTACACTTATTTATTTCAGATCAATCTTATAGTTATTACTGTTAGCTTCAGCTTAAGTTATAGTACAATTTTTCACTAACACCATACGATATTTATATTAGGGCTGTCAAACGATTACAATTTTTAATCAGATTAATCACAGCTTAAAAATTAATTAATCATGATTAATCACCATTCGAACTATGTCCAAAATATGCCATTTATTTATGCATATTGTTGTGGGAATGGAAAGATAAATGAAAGAAGGCGGATATATCCATTTAACATACAGTATCTATGTTTATTATAACATTTTTCTGCGTGTCAAAATGAAAGACAACCCACACACCTATCAGTCATCAAACCGTGGGGTCTTAATTAATTACGTGTTGATTTCTATCAACGGGGGAGTACTTCAGGAAAGTCGACGGGGGGGGGGCGGCGGCTAGTGTCGTACTTCGTGACCACAGAGTGTGAACGTTGTGATCAGCTGTTGTAGCGCAGTTCTCCAGTGAAGGGGGGGGGGGGGGGGGGGGGAAGTCTCCCTCCGTAGCCGGTTGGCGTAGTTTTGGCACAATTCCGTTGTACAGCCCGACGTTAACAGCAGCCCTGTCTGTGCACACGGAGACCGACTCTGTCGTCCGGTGATCTAACCGCCTTCTGGAAAAGCTTCACAAGTACGTCGGTACGCAAATGCGCTTTGTGACACAAGTGACGGTACGCATTTCAGATTACGCACATAACCTGCGTACCAGTTATGTGCACCCCTGGATATGGTGATACACACTCTTGTACAGTAGGTGGCGGTATGCACCTGAAAGCTGTTTGCAATCCGCCAAAAACCGAGAAGAAGAAGAAGAAGAAGAAGAAGAAGAAGAAGAAGAAGAAGAAGAAGAAGAAGAAGAAGAAGAAGAAGAAGAAGAAGAAGAAGAAGAAGAAGAAGAAGAAGAAGCTGGATCCACGTGGCGTCTTGTCGCTACGGTTCTCTCTCTCTGTGTGTTCCTGAGAAAGTGTGTGTGAGCTCCAGCTCTACTGATCCATCATCTGTGTGTCTGGATAAACCTCCGAATGGACTGTGTGCTCTTTCTTCTGGAGCGTTTACCTCGGACTACAGGAGCTAGTAGTGATGGCAAAATGAAGCTTTGAATGAAGCGTCGAACCACTTGGACAATTGTTTCGGAAATAGGTTCATTTCTCGAAGCTTCAGTTACAGCGACCTCTCCTGGCGAAGTGCAAGGCTGCAGTGGGTTTAACGTATCTTTGCCTTGAAAAATATTCAATGCACACACACACTAAGACTGAATATCATGTTCTATTTGCAATTAAAGATTGATAATTGTGTGTATTGGGTTATTGAGAAGAGACTAGAGAGTGCAAGACATGTTTTTGGGCGGAGAGGGCCTTTTATCAGTCATTAAAGTATTAAAGTTGAAAAGCAATGATTACAAGTTTAACTATTCCGGGCTTTGAACCAGCTGCGCGGAGGACATCGCTGCATCCTGGCCGCCGGCTCTATCCACTGGGCTATCTATTCCTTAGACCATTGAAGTGTTATTATATTACTCATTGTCTTTTTGTTCACAGCTTCTCCACATTTCGAAGTGTTTCACGAGCCATAACGACCTATCTTTCTTCCTGGCTTGCTCTATAATTATCCAATTCAAATGCAATACCAACAACAACTCAACACAACAACGCAAACTACGACAACAACCCACACATTGCGCATTGTTTAGAGCGGTCATATAGTGTTGAAGCGCTCAAATTTGAAACTGTTTCAACCTGTCACCTGTCAGAATCGAGACGAGGCAGTGCATTGAATCGCCTGAATGGACCGTGAACCAGTCAAGTGATTCATTCAGGAAATGAAGCAGTTGCTGTTTCGACCGTCACATGTCACGTGATTTGAAGCAGTCGAACCACTTGGACAATTGTGTCGGAAATAGGTATAAATAAATCTAAATATGTGTATATATATATAGAACTATAAATAAATATATATATATAGAACTATAAATACATATGTATATATATAGAACTATAAATAAATATATATATATATATAGAACTATAAATACATATGTATATATATAGAACTATAAATATATATATATATATATATAGAACTATAAATAAATATGTATATATATAGAACTATAAATAAATATATATATAGAACTATAAATAAATATGTATATATATAGAACTATAAATAAATATATATATAGAACTATAAATACATATGTATATATAGAACTATAAATAAATATATATATATATATAGAACTATAAATAAATATGTATATATATAGAACTATAAATAAATATATATATAGAACTATAAATAAATATGTATATATAGAACTATAAATAAATATATATATATAGAACTATAAATACATATGTATATATATAGAACTATAAATAAATATATATATATAGAACTATAGAACTATAAATAAATAGGTATATATATAGAACTATAAATAAATATATATATATATATAACTATAAATACATATGTATATATATAGAACTATAAATATATATATATATATAGAACTATAAATAAATATGTATATATATAGAACTATAAATAAATATATATATATATATATAGAACTATAAATAAATATGTATATATAGAACTATAAATAAATATGTATATATATAGAACTATAAATATATATATATAGAACTATAAATAAATATATATAGAACTATAAATACATATGTATATATATAGAACTATAAATAAATATATATATATAGAACTATAAATACATATGTATATATATAGAACTATAAATACATATATATATATATATAGAACTATAAATAAATAGGTATATATATAGAACTATAAATAAATATATATATATAACTATAAATACATATGTATATATATAGAACTATAAATATATATATAGAACTATAAATAAATATGTATATATATAGAACTATAAATAAATATATATATATATATAGAACTATAAATAAATATGTATATATAGAACTATAAATAAATATGTATATATATAGAACTATAAATATATATATATAGAACTATAAATAAATATATATATATATAGAACTATAAATACATATGTATATATATAGAACTATAAATAAATATATATATATAGAACTATAAATAAATAGGTATATATATAGAACTATAAATAAATATATATATATATATAGAACTATAAATACATATGTATATATATATAACTATAAATATATATATATATAGAACTATAAATAAATATGTATATATATAGAACTATAAATATATATATATAGAACTATAAATAAATATATATATATATAGAACTATAAATACATATGTATATATATAGAATTATAAATAAATATATATATATAGAAACTATAAATACATATGTATATATATAGAACTATAAATAAATATATATATATATATATAGAACTATAAATAAATAGGTATATATATAGAACTATAAATAAATATATATATATATATAACTATAAATACATATGTATATATATAGAACTATAAATAATATATATAGAACTATAAATAAATATGTATATATATAGAACTATAAATAAATATATATATATATATAGAACATATAAATAAATATGTATATATAGGAACTATAAATAAATATGTATATATATAGAACTATAAATATATATATATAGAACTATAAATAAATATATATATATAGAACTATAAATACATATGTATATATATAGAACTATAAATAAATATATATATATAGAACTATAAATAATAGGTATATATTATAAACTATAAATAAATATATATATATATATAGAACTATAAATACATATGTATATATATAGAACTATAAATATATATATATATAGAACTATAAATAAATATGTATATATATAGAACTATAAATAAATATATATATATATAGAACTATAAATAAATATGTATATATATAGAACTATAAATAAATATATATATATATATATATAGAACTATAAATAAATATGTATATATATAGAACTATAAATATATATATATATAGAACTATAAATAAATATGTATATATACAGAACTAT